TGTGCTCTTCCGATCTCCCCAAAACCCCAAAACCCCTTTTCTCCATAAAATAGCATTGAAGAAGTTATAAAATAAAGAATTAAACTGGTTAAATATCAAATTTGCCTGCCGTGTTTAAGCTTAACACTTTAGGTTGATTTAAATTTGATTCAATTCTTCTTTTGATTCAAGTATATGATTGTTCCCACAACAATTCCTGACAAAAATATTCCAAATCCCGCAGTTATTCCAAACATCATTTAACTATGCTTTTCTTGTCTTATTCTTATCAATTTTCTTAAATCATTAATTCTATCAAAATAATCCGGATCTTAAAGGTCTTTCTCAAATAAATTCAAATCAGCTAACATATTTTTTAATTTTAAGCTTGATAGGCTTCCTTCTGATAATAATTCGCATTAGTAAATAAGAATTTTAAGTTATTTTGTAAATGTTACTTTAGTAAGTCTATGATTGCGTTGATTTTCATTTTCATAAGCATTCTATATTTTTCTTGAAAGTTCTATAGCCTTTTAAATTTATTTGTAATGAAGCAAGAGAAATAAACAGTACTCACTAAAGATTAAATCTGAATGTTTCGTATCTGAGGAAGTACCTATTTCTCTAAGTTGTCCATAGATAGTCTCAATCAAACTTATTGCTGACTCGGTTTCATTCATTTGAAAAAATCCTTCAATAAAGTAAGGACCTATGTATGCTAACTCTTAATATTATTCTCTATTCAACTTTAATTTTATGAATTAATCTACCAGTTCACTGTACTCTTCCTTATTGTAATTGCTTTTATATATGTCACCGACCTATTTGAAGTTGTCAGTCATATCAATTCTCATATAATCAAACTTATTACATATCATTCGAAATCTTTCTATAATTAATTGATCCTAAAAAGTAGGATCTATTGCTAGGCCTTTGTTTAAATTTGCCTATCTTGCATTTTAACTTGCTTATTTCAAAATATAGATACCAATGCAATAATTGTTCCCATGATAAAGATCATTCGCAAGATGTTTCAAAATGATATCTGATGACTATGAAAAATTATCAATACTAATTTCACCTTTCTTATATTAATCTTCTAACTCATATATTTCTTTAGCAGCTCTTGATTGATTATAGTAATTTTCAGGGAACTATTTAATACCTTCTTGATATAAAAACTACTTATATTCTTATATCTGCTGAACAATCTCTTGTTAGAAGAATTTCTTATTATTAAAAGCAATACTGTCTCTAACTACATCAATTAAACTGATTATTGTATTAGATGTATGAATGCTCAGTGGATAATTTTCTTTCTATCTTCTAAGAACTTCATTGATAAATATTGATTGAATCGTTTGTACGAAACCTTCATATTATGTGAATGAAAGAGCTAATTTTAACTATCTACATACTTCTCTGAGAAACTTAGCATTGTCAAGAAATGGATGAAACTCTTCTAATAATTGATTATACTTTTTTTCAGCATCTTAAAATTAATTCTCATCTAGTTATTCTGAAAAGATCATTAAAGTTTGTAGTTAAAATCTTTAATAGCTTAACCTTTTATCTTCATTTTGCTTAGAAATCTAACTATTCATTAAAATAGCGATTGCTGCTAGAGAATTCTATTAATGATCCTGAGGTTCATAAATTAATTTTTTCATTTCAATTGCAAGTAGATATTTATTCACCATTTCTTATATTTCTTCATTATTTCTCATACTATCCATTTTAACGTTAAGTTCTTCATCAATTTTCTTAGTAAGTAAATTTATTTTTTTTGGTTCCACATTTTTTGCCAATTAATACAAATCTAAATATTTGATGTATTTGATTGATACGTTTTCAGAAAAGTATTTAATAATCTTTAGAACGTATTTTGCAAATTGTTGAGGGAGCATGAGACTTAAAAAATATTTGGCTTTGCAAGCATAAAACTTAATTTTTAACTTATCATCGCTGTCCCAGTCAGTTTTGATTGTAGGTTTTATCTGGTTCAATATCTTTTTACTATGGAAATGATTCCCAAGATATAAAAATGTCTTTGCTAAGGCAATTTAAAGCTTCATATAATCTCTTGGATTTGTATTCCTATCTACTACCAAGACCTATAGTTTTTCTAATACCTAGAAGTAATATCCTGCTCTACAAAGAGATAAGCTAATGAATACTTAACAAGAGTTCTTGATGCTTTAAGAAAGATTCTCATCGTTTTAATCAATCAAATCTTGCAAAGTCTAGAGAACATCTTTTGCTTCTATGTAGTATGACTACTTAATCAATGACTTGATGAGGTATATAGTAGCCATTATTCTATTTACTAGATTTTATGATTCTACGCTCTGTTTTACTAAGTTTTAGAATATTTTCTCAGATTCTTTGTATTTTTTTTGCTTGTATATCTAATGAGCTTAAATGAACAAATGTGTTTCGACTCCCTCTATAAAAGGGGTTAATTTTATATCTATTTAGATGGAGGACTTTTCCATTTTAAATTATTGATTTAATGGTTAGAATTATATTATAATTTTGATACAAAATT